GTTTGCTTTTGAAATATATATTTCCATAAATGATAGGTACGTGAACAATAATTTACAGCTCTAATTAAATAAAAATAAATCCAAATTAAACGTTATGTTTAATTAAATATTTGAAATTTCGTTTAGTATTAATAAATGGCGGTTATTGTTTTTCCATGTATATAATTTTTTAATTGAAATCTACATATTTGTAGGCTGGCACGAAACCAGTGAAAGAATTTTACGAGTCACAATTACGGCCGTATAATTCCGTTTTATGCTCGATACAGGAAACATAAATCCAGTAGTTAATGTTTAATAATGCGAAATCTTGTAATGTTTTTCGCAGAGTGAACGGGTTCATTCGATTGTACTTAATGAATTCATGATTTGACAAATTTATGTATAATGTACGCACGAAAAAGACTCCAGGAAGTTTTGTTAACAGATAGAGCTTAAATATGCATTTCCAGACTATCAAGACGTGAAACTTCCAGGTAAACAGAAAATTTAGCGTTTCTTGGCGGTTTCATTATTTTTGTATTAGAGGGAATATTCAATGAGGTTAAACGAAGTTTAATTACCTTAATTAGCGATTTTGTAAATTACTTTGACGACAGAACTTTGCGGTTTCGAAATAACATTTTTTGTTTTGCAGTAAATTGAAATTACAAGATTCAATGAATCCAAGAATAGTAACCGTCCGAAATTCTGTAGGTTCTTCCAGACAATTACAGATCGCCAAATATCAATACATACACAATTTTAGAAAGGTTTTCACTGTTTGTGTTAACGGGATTTTTTTATGTTGTGAGAAATACTAGTAATTTTGTTGTTTGTTTGATTGACGAGTGACTCAATTTTGAGCCGCGTCGGCCGAAAGTTTGAGTAATCTTGGCCATGTGTCGTTTAAACAATGCAGCCGTTTCTCCCAGATCAAACACAATAAAGAAAGTGGATGAGAAAGAAGTTTGTAATTTGTTTGTTTCACAACACAATTCCATGTAATAGTCCATGATTTTGGTCATTCTTTTCTCGTCCATCACCTGTGCCTCTTATTTCTTCTTTTTTCCGTCACGACGTGGGCTATTCGGAATGCGCTTTTAAGCGAATCTGCATGTGATAAAAATTCTCTGGTTGAATTGTTAAAAGTGAATGGAAATTCGAGCTTAAATTTTTATTTCGACGTACTACAACCGAACTGAAAGTAAATGTTCTTTATAAGAGCAGCCGTGCATAGCGCCCCAATAGAAAAGGTCGATGGAACAGCCTCAGATTTCTTTCTTTCAATAATTTATCATGTTACATTTTCCTTACAATATGGTGATATGTAATTTGTCTCAGACACAAATAAGTGCTTCTAAGTCGTCATTAACATTTTGTCAAACGCTCGCTGCTCACGCTATTAAAATAATATCAATAATTTTTCATTCGCATTATTCACACCCACAAGGCGAGTTGTGACAACGCCCAGTTAATGTAATTTCTCCACCAAAGCGGCTAAACTCCGTAAAACTGTTGTGGGTGCGTGCATTTCTCCCTCTGTCAAATCAAACGTATTTACTATATGTCGTCGATATGACGCATGGGGACTCCCAGGGGCCTTCTCCCTTCCGGCAATAAGGCATTAATAATAACTTCACATTCTGAAGGGCAAATACATAAATATGTATGCTCTCTGATCACGACAGATTAACATTTTGCATATTCCAGAAACAACCGACAAATCACTGTCAACCCCTAATTGAAACTCTTTAAACGCGAACTGAAAAATGCTAATGCGACGCATACATAATCCCCAGACTTCACCGCCTAGATATTTTCCTGCGATTATGCTGAGCCGAGTATCATGAAACACCCCGGGTTATGCGCTACGAAAACAAGCGTGTCAAAAATATCGCCACAAATTGAGAATTTTTACTTTTTAGTAGGGAGTGTTGTGGTGCCCCATTAAATATTTGTATTAAAATTGCTTTCAAATATATTTAAATAAATATCAAACCGCTTTTTAAATTAAATTCGCTGTTATTATTCGCGTTGACAAAATGTAGATAATATTGATGAACGACCTGTGGACGTTTATCGCGCTAGGAAAAAAATCGCCCTTTTCGACCGATATTGACGTCACGTCTAAAGTAGTATGTTTAAATGACAATATGATTAATGTAGCTTGCATTTACGAAATACATTGGAAAATCGTTATTTTTACGTGGTTAAATGCTGTGGGTGTAAATGCCAATAACGCATGAAACGATCACCGATTAACAAGAAATTTTTTGTTAGTGTATAAATAGCGTTTTCATGACTGCCGTGTCCTCTCGGGACAATAAACGTAAAATTTAAATCATTTTTATGCCAACTTCCGAAATGGTAAAAATACATCAGATGTATCTGATACACTTTATTTATTTCCATAAAAGTTGATGCAAATCGGGCAAAGGAAAATAGATGAGACTGGATTACATAGGGGGCGTAGGCATATCACAGAAATCAGTCCGTGTTTTTAAAATTTTGTCTGTAAATTATGACGTTGTTCCCATTTTTAACTCTTAATTTGAGCAAATGGTCTAGTCTGACCCTTTCATATGTACACACATACACACATGTAAGTAATTAACATGTGACATGCAAATTAATCTGTAAAATCATAAACTCCGCGGTTTTAGTAATTATTTTTTCAGGTATCTTTCACGTAATCTGTGAGCGTAAAATTGTACGTTTTAATTTAATTTTAAAAATACAAGGCCATTACATGATTTTTAAAAAGTGACGTTTGAAGCATAGCTCAAACAAGAACTGCAATAATAATGTTGCCGCCGTAATTTTTCGATGGCGTTTAGTTTGCACAGGACTGGATAAACTTTTAAGTTAAATGGCTCTATGTAAACGAAAAAATTGGGAACAAGCGAACGCTGAAATTTGGCTAAAATTCCAAGCCGGAAAAATTAATGAGGATCAGGTGCGATGCGATGGCGATAAGTCGTGATTGCTTAAATTATTAACAATTTGACAATTAGATTTTGGGCGTAAAATTTCTCCACAAATTTTTATAGGTAACGTGCACATTGCGGTTGTTTCTAATTTATTTTTGTCGGTAAAGACCGATTCATGTTGGTATCCGACGTAAAAATCACAAACTTTTAACGATATCTACACGAAGTAGCTGCCATTCAAATCCCAGGACAGGATTCAGTATTTTCAATTTCACCCTCATTTCTGCTTCTTTTGCCAACTTCCAATAACACGAAGTTATATTTTACGTTAGCAATTGATTCAACTAGAGCAATTGGTTTATAATATTCTTGATAACTTCAAAGGGGATTTGTATTCAACGACAGACGTTTATATGTGTTATTTTATATTAGCTTTGGAGATTATATTTTCTCTTTGAACGTCTGTATACCAAGCGGCACCTCGACACTTATTTTACGGATTCGGTGCAGATGTGACATACAAATGTGATTTTATTTTCGGGTCTTTGAAAAAAATAAGCTGTGCTATATTTCATTATCTGATTTTTTTGGTTTGCGTTGAGGTAAAGCTAATGCATTTGCGCTTTCAGATTGTTTATGCTTGCCAATGAAGTAATCCCATTGTGCGCTAAATAAAGTAAACAGGAATACACGAAACAAAAGACATGAACTAGTAGAAATAGTTTTAAAAGCTTTGCTTGTTTTTAAGAGAAAACGTTGTTCAGAGTCTAGAGTAAAGTAAAGCGTTGAAACAAAGGAAGTGTTAAAAATAAATAATGGGCAAATTTTGCAGCGATTGTAAAAATACAAATATTTCACATTTGGGTAAATTAGAACATGTACGACGTGCTGTAGAAACGTGTTTTTTAGTAGTTGTGATAAAGGCAAAACAGAAAGTTAAAATTTTTACTTTTAGGTGGGGAGTGTGGTAGTGGCTATTTGATTAATCTGTTTTGGAACTGAGCATTTAATGTCGCGATAGTTGCAAACTTCATTAAACACTTTTACATTTGTAAAAAGTTATAATAAAAACGTTATTCGACAGAGAAGTCAACGTGCCTTTAAAATTTGTTTACTGAGGATAATATACAAAAGGAATACCGTCATACCACTAGACTCGTTAAGGCTTGTATAAGAGATTTTGTTAGATATCAATTTGACTCTATCTGTGTTGACATAAATGCTTGAAATTCTTTTATTCTACCATGAAAATATTACACTTACTGGAATCTGATATTGAGATTGCATAGAATGTTGGAAAATCGATTTCTTATAAAGCTTACATTGGGCAATGTAACGTTTTTCCGATGTAATTTTATTTACATTATTAGAGGCTTGGAACTCAGCGCACTGAAAAAAACAACCACTGTTGTTGATGGTTTTCAAAAATTTTTATTGTTACTGTGCACAATAATTATTTAATTATTCATGTCAAAGCTCGCGTGGAATTTTACAAATATTACAATCAATTTTTTCATGAAATTAAAATGTGACGCTAAAAGTACAAAAGTGAAGTATTTGTGAATAGGTGAAATAAACAACAGACGTGTTTTAATGGAAATGTTTGCATTGTGCTCGTTGAAATCAATCCATTTCCCAGGTTCGTAGCAAGCTAACAGTTTTTTAAAAATGTCTATAAATCCAACTACACTTCTGCAATAATCATTGCCATAATTAACAACCACTCCTTGATAGCGATTTCGACGTATCATTTCCATCGTATTCATTTTTGACGAATCGCAAAGCTGCCGTTTCTTTGTAAAATTGTATGAAACGCGATGACAATTAAGTTTGCAGAGCACAGCCGAATGATTAAATATTTTGACTAACGACAAGCATTCGTCATAATCCTGGTACGAAAGTAAACCACAGTGACACTGGGGTACGTTTGTGTTTTCATGAAAATGAAATGCTTTTACAACTCACAGCGAGCTTTGACAGGTGATGAGGGTGGTGAGGATGGCGATTATTATCGGTTATATATCAGCGGTGGGAGCGATGGCCTTGACATTTTTCAAATTTAGGGGATGGGTACGGGCCGCTACTTACCGAGTGTGGATGATGTAGTGAGTGACCGGACTATGATGCGTGTCTTGCGAGGGAGCCCAAGAGAGGTTGACCGATCTAGACGTGAAGCTGACGATGAGAGGCCTACCCGGCGCATCCGGCACATCTACAAAGAAAAACACTCTTTTACTACAAAAACACGAGGGCTCTTATATACCCAAAAAGAACGGTCACATTATATCAAGCGATTTCGCCATATGCCGGCTTTTTGTGCGGAAGAGCCATAAACCAATAAAATGTACAGGATGGAGCAACAGAAGGAAACGCAGGGCTGCCAGAAAAACGGAATCTTAGGAATGCACTGTAGGACTCGTCCTATATATGTTCTACAATTTTTCTCAATACAATAACAAGAATAAGTACATTTGGGAATTACTCTCGCGACAATACGGTCCTGTACACACCAAAATAGGTGACAATTGATGTTATATGCTTGCCACTCGAGCATTTTATACTTTAACAAATATTATCATGAGCCAAATTTCATAACACATTACATAATATGGACCTCGAAAGAGATATTAGAAAACGTTTGTAAAATGTGGACACAACTTTAAAATTTTTACTTTTTGGTGGGGAGTATTGTAGTGCCCTCACACCAACATGTATTAAAATTGATTTGAACGTCCAATCTTGATTTTTTGTCATCATTTACCAATCATTGTTATATATGAAAAGTAATAATTAAAACAAATATATCCTGTTTATTTATTTTTTATGTAAAGCTGTTACCCCACTCAAATCATAAAGTATTAACTGCAATATTGTTCATTCCAGGTGTTTATTATTACGGAATTATTTAGCACATTTATATTATATTAACTGTATATATTTAGTGTTTTCGTGCAATATGGCACATTAAAATAATTATAGATAAAACTGTAGATTTACAATTGTAATTACATTTCGTTTCAACGTACTGAAATAATCTTCTGCAATTATTATTCAGATTACCTTTAAAACGTATCAATTTACGTTCATTAAAATTACTCACTCGGGCTAATTCACTGCAGATATATTAAAAATTAAAGTAACTAATTATGTCGCACTAAAACGTAAAAAGGCACTCGAGTTGGAAAAAGAACATTGCAATATACTTAGCGATATTTTAAATTTCATTAATAAAAAATGACAAGAGGGCGTGTATAAACATGTCTCCTATCCAGGCGACTAAAAAAATATATAACGCACAAGAAACACACATAATAAACTCGTGAAATATCCCCTAAAAGGTGTGTAGGCGCATATTTCGCGGTTTCTAGCGTCGGAATGATAAGGATGATGAAAATTTGTGTCATCCACCAGCAGGGTCGTCTCACGTCGACGAAATTAACTGAGTCACTCAGTGATAACTGCGTACATAGTAGTTAAACGGTGTTCACAGTTGTAGTTGGTTTGTGTAATTCTGTTTCGTGAGTTTTGAGATCCGTTATTAAGCGGCAAGTTGGTGCAGAGTGGAGCGGTTTTGTAGCGATTTCGCCGAGGAAATAAAAGATGTTGGAGAATTATTCGGAGGTGACGGCGGTGGATGGGCGCCAGAGCCGGATTTTCTACGAGCCACACCACATTTCAAAAGAATGAAGTTACATCATTCATTTTACGGCCAAACTATGGTGTTAACGCTGGTTCTTGCGCTACTTCTACGAGCGAGAATAAATTATTTGATTATATTGTGTAGCATTTACATATTATGAGATTTTTTTAAGTGAATTTCGATGAAATTTTATCAATAAACAAGTCCGCGTTGGCGTTGGCTGTTATAATTTTGTCTTAAATGTTTGAGTTAAGCTTCCTATTTTTCCGGCGAGTGTTTATTATTTCGAGCTGAAAAATCAGAAAGCGAGCTCGTTTTTGTCGCGTTACGTCACCAATTCCATTTATTTGTATGCAAACGGTCTCAGAACGTCTTTAAGCGCTATAAGCGGAAACTACAAGGTTTTTAGATCGTGCATTTTGCAGACGCGAACGGTTGATTTCAGTTTTAAATTGTATTTGCTTTTCCTTCTGTAATTTGTTATTTGATTAATTGAGCGTACATGTTTACCTGTTAATTATACATTTTTTAACGAACGTTCAAAATGTTAAATTTTTTGCAACAATAACGGACATTTAGAGAAAAATATGAATATTTGTCTACATAATTTGCTTGAGATTGGATCTCAAACACTACGTTATTTATGACATTTATCTAATCAACAATAGATTCAGTGAAATCTCTTGTGTGTTGTTTTGGAGCTATTAATTGACGCACAGTTGAGTTATCATTGACATAGTGCAGACACTTGTTAATAATCGAGCGTCGCTTGGAAAAGGAGGACATAGTATAACGGCGGACGGAACTCATAGAATGAACAACAGATTTTGTTAAATTTTTAAATTTCTAGTACAGACTGGAGATTTCAGGATAGAATCAACACTTACTATTCTAAAAAAAAGAACATTGATTTATGTTAGCTACATAAAGAGGAACAGATTTAAGACTATTAGACGGAGGGATGATTTCATCATTGTGGTAGATGCTTAACTTTGGGTGTCTCGGTTAAGAAGCCTAGTGGTATATTCTCTGAAAAATTGGAGTTCATTTTGACTTGAGGAAATGTTGCGGGGCTCTAAAAAATTGGAGTGGTCTTAATCCGGCTCTGACGGTCGTCACCTCGATAGCTCGCCACCTCCACTAAGCCGGTTTATTCTGCGGGAAACAATTTGCGTTTTTCCATTTAGTTAAACAGTGTAATTATCGGCAACGGCACGCGAGGATGAGACCAGCGGCGGCTCGCGAAAGAACGGAACGTTGGAACGTAGGAACGACTAGCGATAGCGCACCGGAATCGATTCGGTTAACACTTGCAGTTTACCGGAAGGAGCGACCGGCGGCGGCGGCGGCGGCGACCGGAGACCGGCTTAAACGGTCGCTCGTCCTCTTTGCGTAACGACTGTCTGCGTAGTTAAATCTCCAGGGCTTAACACCTCATTTCATGTTTCATGCATTTAAACGAAATCAAAGAACAATGGGGCGCAGTTTCCGGGAAATAGGTGCGTTTAACTCGATCGTTTCCGGATATCGGCAAATATCTATATGCTGCATAGTCGCTAATCCGATTCCCGGATTAAAAGTAAACACAAAAGGGTTATAGAATCGTGTGTATACGGTTCTAGAATTTCAATGGCGTTTTTAATGATACATAAAGGTGGTGCGATGAACAAAACCCACTCGTTTAAACGGACCCTGCGAGCTTTTGCTCTTGCTTCGCATTTTCCGGAAAGACAAAGGGGACCTGCTAATACTCGTATATTTTGCACCATGCTTTATTATTATCACTGTTTTGCCTTGCAAAGCGCCTTTTCCTAGTGCACCCGACAAATTCGATTCGGAAAATTGCTAAATCAAAATTACCAACGCGTAAAACGCGCTTCTCGCACGTTGCTACGCACCCATCCACTTATATTGTTTCACCCGACGCAAACGTTTCATTTACATTAAACATATTCAGCGCCGACAATCGCTCATTTAACTCACCCCATCATAAACTATTAGAAAACCGCCAAGACACTCTACGTTTTACCGCAACATCCAACTAATCTCCTCACACAACTTTGACAATAATTCTATCAAAGTAACTTTTTTCTTCTTTGAAAAATTAATTAGCCTCGTTTTTATGCCGTCTAAGCGCCTTATGTCTTCCATTCACATATTTCATCCATTTTAATCCAATAGCTTTTTCACTCGGTGACTCTTTTTCCAGTTGCTATTCTTGTTTTACGTGTCACGTTTTCCATCCCTCTCTTCAACTTTTTACATATTGTTTTATTATCATCCATCCAAGATACGTTTCCACTTTTATATTTTCCTTTATGTTATTACGCGTCAAACGTGCCGGTAAGTAGTTGAAAATCGTGTAGCAAAACCACGAATTAGAGACTCTCAGTCGAAGCTTAAAGGTCATCAAACGGTAAACAGAAGCGTGCCGCCTCTACTCTAATAAATTTAACAATCCTGAGACCAGGAAAAATTTCAATGTGACATGCATCTTGGAGTTGAGAGGATCTCTACTAGCATTGTTAGCCTAACATCTATCCACGCGAGTGCCGTCTCTCTGTATTCCATCGATAATCAGAATTTTTGGTTTCGGTTTCCCCCAAATTTTTCTTTCCTAGAAGTTTCTACCAAGTCATTTAATTTAAATTAAACATATTCAGCACTAACAATCGCTCATTTAACTCGCCCTTCCAATAAACTATTAGAAAACCGCCAAGACAATCTACATTTTACCGCAACATCCAATCAATACCGTTCACACAACTTTCACAATAAAATCATTGGGATATAGAGGGTGTTTCTTTCCAAACTCACCCGCTCAATTTAATTCATAGCGGCTTTCATGTCGCCGATTTAACCCATGAATATTAATAGACGCTTTTTTTAGCAGCCAAGATAAAACGAAAGAAAGAAGATTGCTGCCAGCATATAACTTTTTCAGGTTCTGAAAAGCCATTTTTTTCATGTTATACAGCTCGATCTTATCAATTATTTAATATTATTGCTCCTACCCAATTCGATCTTTCTTATCTCGAACTCGCGGTTAATGTCACGATTTGCATCCGAATACTGACAAGCATCCAATAATACACATCTTTCGCTTCCCGAAAAATCTTTAATAAACGAGCTTTGTATACACATTTTCTAGCAAAATTGAATTGTTCACAAAGAAGGACTATCGTTTGCACACATAAAAAGGATGACAACGAGCAATTCCGCTGTATGAAACTGTAACCCACGGATAATAGGCGTGAAGAAATTGCATGGAAAATTGCTTTTATTTTTCTCCGGATTAAAACGAAGCCGGAGCGCGCGCTGAGGCCACTTTTTGGAAACTTAACGAATTATTGTTATCCCTTAATTTTTTCCGAAGCAATTGGACTGAGCAAGTGACGATTAATCAGTCCCTACATTATAATAGTATCAAATGGACTTAATTAACATTTGGTGAATTATTGACAAAAAAATTAGATACAATAAAGAGTTATCCGAACATTTAAGTTAGTCACGTGATTATACCGTGTTAGAACTTCGCAATCTTTTTATGGCGTCCACGTTACCTGAAAGCA